CACCCTTATATTTCTTCTTCAAAATCTATGAACTAGTTCGGATGAAGGACCGCAGTCACAACCATCTTATCGAATCCTCGTTCATAGTTTTATCCATAAAATCTATAGATTAATCCCAAATGAAGACAGATCAAAATCACAATCGTCTCAAAAGAATATTCTCTATAGTTTTCAACCAACAATTTTATCATTAAAACCTTTCAAACTCAAGAACAATCTATTCTTTCAATGATTTCCAAAAACATCATATCCCTTTTAAATCCTCATAACATGATATCATTTTCAAAACTGTTTTAAAGAAGCAATCACTTCTTTATCTTTCCCAAAACAGTTTTTAATACTCAAATATATAACAATAACACCTTTAAACTATCAAAATAGTTTTACCATATTTTCTTCAAAACCAACATAAAACCCAGCAGTTTATATAACAATATATATAAAGGTTTTAGTCATCAAAAACTCACTTTAATAATCACAGGTTCTACAGGTTATAAACACACAGTAGATCTTTAATTAGCACAAAATCTTCAAATCACTTTTGTGTATTAATCTTTCTCAAGAATTCTTTCACTGCCACACACTTTCTTTTTCTCAAAAAGGTTCCTTTCTCCAAAAATCAAGATAAGGTATGATCTTATCTTTTTCCTTCTTTATATATTTTTCTAACAAAGGCGGTGATGGTTTTATTAAAATAAAACTCTTTGGCGGTGAAAGCTTTAACYAATAAAGGTAATTTAGGCGGTGGGTTTTTCATTATAAAATTCATGATTTCTTAACCATGAAGGTATAAGTTTTTAACCCGAATAGCTTATTACAATAAGCACCGCCTCATGTATGCTTCATACCACATGCATATATGTATAAATTACATACATATCATGCCATCTTTTCACATATATGCATGCACAATATCATGTTCACATTTCACATATATAGTTCATGCATTTCTACTTAGACTTGCATATTTCATGTAATCCACATAATAAACATGTATAAATTACCTCAGCTCAGGTTGTCTAAAACCTGGTTATAATATGTACACTGGTGTTCCTTCCCTTAAAACCACACAACCACGCGGTCGACCTTCGAACCAACCTGTTTGAAGAAAAGTTTGCCATCATGATAGAATTCTTCCAGAACTGTGTACTAGAACCGGTGTTGACATTAATCGACAATGGCGTACCATTTAAATACGTCCAACAGTACTGGCAGACTTGCGAATATATCCCCGACAGCCACGAAATCCTGGGGGATATTGACGCTCCAAACGACATGATCTGTTCCGTCAAAATCTCCGCGGCAAAGGTCTTTAGAGTCCTTTGCATTCCCACACGCCAAGAACTTGGCATTGACCACTATGCCGAACTACCCACGAGCTCCGATATCCTCCGCTTCATCCGCATGCTAGATTACAATCGTGACCTACGCAATGCCTCTGATTTTAAGAGGCAATTCCTCCCCTCCCAACAGAGGAGCAATGAAGAAATAATAGCCACTTCACCTCATGGCTTACCACTACCCTTCACACACCCAGAAGCATGTGTTGCTTCTGACATTGCTAATCCACAAGATCGTTCAAAGCGATCTTCTGTTCGTGCATAACATCCCCCTTCGATACTTGATCTAGCGAAGGGGAAACACATCTACTTCTCTTACCCGACCTCTGAAGCCGAGGAAGAAGAAGAAGAAGTTGTAGCAACATCACGAGATAGCTCCTCACTAGAGGGCTATCAAGGACATGATGGAAGTCCTTCACGGCCCACATTTTCACAAGGCCATGAAGGCGCCTCTGGAGCCTCAGCTCAACCTGCAGCATCCGTTGCTGCAGGGGTTACCCATGTGGTTGATCTGGTCACAAAGGCTGAGTTCCAAGCCTTTGTAGACTCGATCCAGCAGTCCTTAGAAGACCTAAAACTCATCATACAAGGGATTGTCGACAACCCTCCATCCATTGACCTCACCCCCCCTTCGACAGTCCTTTGCAACCCTTGAAACCCAAACCCGAGACAACACAACCCATCTCCAAATGCTACAAAAAACAGTCACCCAACACCACAACATCTCCTCTTCCCTTGCCACCCAAAGAAACCAACTCCTCATTCACTCCATCGCCACCATTACGGCCCAGGCAACTGCAACCGATGAGATTTTAGCCTTAATCACTACCTTACTAAACACCATCTCCCAAACCATAAACACCCTCCCAGCCAATATCACATCTCAAATCCCACAACCGACCCCACCCCCAACTTCATTCATCAATGAAACATTAGCCTCTCTTTCTACCCAAATGACGACCATCCAAAACACCCTCTCCTCCCTCCCAGCCACAATACTAGCCAACATACCCCAACCTCCTCCTCCCTCACCTCCCTCTGCAGGCCCCTCTTTCGATGAAGCCTTCTCTACCTTCACTGCAGAGGTGAGGAATATCATCACCAACATCCCCATTCCACCATCCACATCAGCCTCCACCTCCATGCCCCCACTTGTCACCACCTCCACCATGGAATATGCAACCAGGGCCGACCTAAGGGCCCTATCAAAGGCACTTGTCTCATCCTTCAATGAGATAAGTGCAAAATTCATCCATCGCGCCATTCAACCTACCAAGGCTCTCTCCCAGAGCGTTGCTGATCAACAGACACGCACCACCTCTCTCTTTCACACGATGGAGGAGAGCAGAAGACAACAAGTCCTGAAGGCGTATCTTGCGACCTTCAGGAAGGAGAAGAAGAAGAGGAGGAGCAGAGCTTCATGCTCCAGCAGCCGCCTGCACAAGAGGCCACACATGAGGACCCAGACCCTGAGGGGGAGAATCAGGCCGCGGCTGCTCAACACATGGAATCCGCTACACCATCACCACCACCCCAAACACAAGAACAATCACCTCCCACAACCGAAGGCACCCAAGCGAGAGAACCAAAGGCTCAGCCCTCTGAAGATGTACAGAACGTACATGTTCCCATCGCCACATCCCAAGAACCCATCGAGTTGAGCTCATCGACCGATGAAGAACCATCCACACCACCAACCAACCTACCCTTCACCCCATCACCAACTCCAAACTTACCATTAACCCCCTCACCAACACCACGCACCACACAACCCTTTACCACTCTACCTATACAACCTCAGCCCACAATCACCCAACCTTCATCACCACACCAACCACTAACTCAACTCGTTGAACCAGAAACCACCCAAATACAACCTCCTGAACCACAAGTCACCCCATATGAGCCTAATGAACCAGCGCCAACCCAAACTCTTCCATCACCTACCCCCTCTCAACCATTAACCCAAACACAACCTACAGCCCAACAAACCCAAGTGCAAGCGAATATTTCTTCATCTTCAAGGCACCCTCCTTAAGGGGTAGTCGATGAAATAATAGAAAACATGGAGTCACTCAGGAGACATCCAGAGGTGCCACCGAGGGATCCAGTCATGATGGAGAATATCCATCAATACCTGTACCATGATCGCGATGAAGGGCTGACACTCAATCCTCCAATCCTTTCACCATAATCCATGAACCTCCTACACCATAGGTTTGTGAGACAGACCACCCAACCACCAAGGGCTGTTTTCTCAAACGATGGAATAAGGTTGGTCATGGACATCAAAATGAGGACCTTCGCCAACCGAGCCATCAAATACATCAAGTACACAGTGGAGCGAGCCCATGGTCAGGTTAGCGTCTTTTGTGACAATGACTTGATCAATCTCAATCCCTATGACTTGATCGAGCTATACGCGTACACGACTCAGCGACAGGATCATGGCATACAATTTGGGATGGCGAACAGAACGATCATGCAAACAATGGAAACCTTGGTGAAACAACGAGCTAAAAGTGATTTCAAGATTGCTCTTCAGCTTGGCATCGATAGACTATCCTGCACTCCACCTGATGAAGACTTCTCTGACCTGCAGGAGAAGAGATCTACCTCTGTTCTTACTCAACCAGAACTGGGTCTGGTATACAAAAATGAGTTTGGAGCAAATAAATTCTTTAGGTTGACTGAGGCCTTTAAGTATTTAAATGAAACACTTAAATGGTTTCAGAAAGCCATCAGAGACAGATTGGGCAGATCTCACGTGCCAACAGACGATGGACAGAGACTGATACATGAAATATCTACAGTCATCGATCACAGAGGACTACTTATGCATTTTTGGGAAATATCACAGGGGAGACCCTAAATGCAGTCTTATACTTTTGTCTTGTAATTTTTGTTTCACCAATGTAAGAATTCATCATTTGTTCCAATGAAAATTTGGCAAAAGATGCTTTTCTTTAGAATAGCCTATGTTCTTCATTTATACTTTGAATGTTCTTAGAATAGATGATGATTGCTCTTACATTACTTAGGGGGACATTGTTAGACCCCTTAAGTATGATGTATGAAGTAATGAAGACAAACATGTGATGAAGAACCAGAAGGCCGATGGAAGACTTCATGGAAAAATGACTAAGTCTGAAGAACGTCCAGAGGGTCGATGAACTGACCAGAGATGCGATGGAAAGTGCATCTCCATAACCCCTATGGATACTAACACTTGAAGGTTCCTTCACCAGTTCAACCAGAAGAAAGCAATGAAGATATGAAGATAAGGTTGAACTCATATCCCATGGAAGACAGCTGGAGATAACCATTCAACAGTTGGATTCTGTAAAGTTTATCTCGTTTTAATGTTTATCCTTATTATAGATAAGCTTTATCTGTTAGTACAAGATTAGCTAAATAGTCACACTAGATAGTTATCTTCTTATTAGCTTACTAGTATAAATAGGTGGTTAGGCCTATTGTAATTCAAGACGCTTTACGTTTTTACATTATTATTGAATAAAGTGAAATCCTTGGCACTCAAGATTATTCTTTGAATGTTCATACATTGTTCTTGAGTGTTCATCATTTTATTCATCTAAACACTATAACTTGGTTATTCTTAACTTGATTATTAGTGTTATTGAGAGATCTGGGATTAACAGTGTAAGAAGAAGGTAAATTAACATTTGATATAAGAAACTTCTTATGTGATTCCATGGCTAAGACCATATCTTTAAGCTCGGGCCCTAAATCATACTCCTTCATCAACAAATTAAATGTCTTTGCATGTAGGTGCCTTGTAATCGCAACCTCCAACAAATCTCGGTTAGTCAAGTCATACAAATCATGAGTAATAAGATCTAAAACATCAACAAAACTAACAGAAGACACATCACTGGGATATCTAATGGCATCATAGATATTAAATTTAATGACCTCACMATCAAATTCCATAGTTAACGTACCATCATGAACATCAATTTTTGTTTTTGATGTTTTCAGAAATGGTCTTCCCAACAATATCAAAGGTGATTTGGAGGTATTATGCTCCTCCATATCTATGACATAGAAATCAGCCGGGAAGACTAAGTCGTTTACTTGAACCAACACATCCTCAAGGACTCCCTTGGGATACACATTGGACCTATCGACGAGTTGTATAACAACTCCCCTCCTCTTAAGAGGTCCCACATTCAGTGATGAATAAATCGAGTAAGGCATGACATTTATAGATGCGCCTAAGTCTAACATGGCTTTATCTAATGAAACATTACCTAATTTACAAGGAATAGTAAACATACTTGGGTCCTTGCACTTAGGTGGCATCTTCTCTCCTTGAAGCACAAAGGATACATTCTCTCCCATGCTAACCTTCTCGTTCCCGGTCAACTTCTTCTTGTTCGTACACAACACCTTCAAAAACTTAGCATATCGAGGTACTCTTTTAATAACATCTACGAGTGGAATGTTTACCTCAACTCGGCGAAAAATCTCCATAATCTCATTGTCTTCTTGCTCCTTCTTGCTTTGCTCTATTCTCTTTGGGAATGGTGGTCGGATGACCAATTCGAGCGTCTTTCCTTTGTCCTCTATGTTTTTACCTTCAATCTTATCTTCATTTGACTTGTCACCCGTAATCTCGGCCTTTTTCTCTTCTTTCCTCTCGCTCCTTGCTTTGGGTTCGGGATCCAGAACTGTCCTGTTTCTCAAAGTAATGGCACTAACATTAGCTTTCGGGTTAGTTTCAGTTTGGGACGGTAACTTATCTTGGCTCTCAATGCGATTAAGCGAAATCGCCTTTTGCTCGTTTTGAGCTTCCAAATTCTTCTGTTGGGCCATTAAACTTTGATTTTGGGTTACCAAATTCTGGATATTCGTCCTCGTCTCTTGTTGAAATTGTTGAGTGTTAATTGCAAGAGATTTAACAATATCTTCTAAAGACATACGTGCACTGCTTGAGGCTTGGTTGTTTGGCTGAAATGTCGCTCTCTGTTGGAATGGCTGCTGGAATAGCCTTTGCTGGAATTGTTGCGGAGGTCTTTGGGCACCAAAGCTCTGGTTATAAAACCTTTGCTGTGGTTGTTGGCCTGGAAAGCCTCCGATGGCGTTGACATCTTCGGGTGCAACCAAAACATCCTCTTGGAGTTGTGGACACGCGTCCATTGGATGGCTCGTTCCATTACATATACTGCATGCCTTAACCTGCTCTTTACCCACAACTAATTGTTTAACGAGGTTAGTCAAATCAAATAACATACTCTCAATGGTATCGGTATTAACCTCGTTAATCTTTTGGGGCCCTATCCTTAAATCACCTCGCACACTAAAATGCTGAGAGTTCTCAGCCATAGTTGTGATCAGAGCCCTCACTTGAGTTGGGGTTTTATTAAAAATTGCCCCTCCACTAGTGGCATCAATCATCTTCCTTTCCATAGGAAGAAGGCCCTCATAAAAATACTGCAACGGAAGTTGCTCAGAAATTCCGTGTTGCAGGCAACTAACGCAGAGATGTTTGAACCTCTCCCAATATTCATGGAGGGTTTCCACATCTCTTTGTTTGATACTGCAAATTTCCCTACGGAGTGTAGTGGCTCGGGAGGCGAGAAAGAATTTATCTAAAAATAATCGTGCCATTTGGTTCCAAGTCGTTACCGAACCGGGTGGTAACGAGTAGAACCAATATTTAGCTCGATCTTTTAAAGAAAAATGGAATGCCTTTAACTTTATAAGATCATCCGTAACCTCGTTGGGCTTCATGCTTAAACACACCACATGGAATTCTTTGAGGTGTTTGTTCGGGTCCTCGTTCTCCAAACCATAGTAGGAAGGTAATAGGTGGACCAAACCAGTTTTTAGAACAAAATTTGCGTTACCTTCTGGATACCTGATGCAGATAGGAACCTGAGCAACGTCATGTGTTGCCAACTCTCGTAGAGTTCGCTCGTCTTGTTCGGCAGCCATCGCGTCTGCCTTCTCTTCGTCTTCCTCTTCGTACCTTTCTTCCTATTCGTCCTAATCGCTCGATAGGTTAATATCTTGCCATATATTTAACCCTGGTGACGAAGGTCCCTCGCCAAACTTTTTCCAAAACTTGGCTTGTTTCCTCAGTCGTTTCGCGGTTCGTTCAATTTCTAGATTTATTGGCAAAGGTGAACATGTACGTGAAAATCTAGGCATAAACCGTTAGTAATACCGAGTCTTCGGCAACGGTGCCAAAAATATGACGGATGCCGAGTCCACCAAATAATGAATTCCAAATAACGACTAGTTACAACCAAAATTGTAGTAGTGTAAGTCGGGTCGAATCCATAGAGACTCGATCTAACGTTATACGACTAGAGAATCAATTACACGATGAAAACGAAAAAATAAAAAACTAATAATCACGAGGGGGGGTGTTGGATTTGATTAATTACTCTAAACATGCGATAAAATCTAAATTCAAACAATTGATTAAAGTCCCAACATCGATTCAATACCGGTTAAGATGTTAGTGCCTATCATCGATTCCAAAAAAATGTAAACAGAAAGGACAAGCCCGAATTGGTTTTAATTGTTAACAAGCTCTAACGACCCAATTTTCCATAGATAATCATTGATTAAAATAAGCTCTCTAATCAACCCTTAACCACAAATACAAGTTTAAATAAGCTCTTAAACTCATAGGTGCGACTAGCTTTACCGGACTAGAAAAAAAAATACCAATTCAAAGCCATAAGCTCATAAGCTCGGCTTATCGAGACTCTAATTGCGAGATTTCAGATATTCAATCCGGGAACCTTATCGAAACCAAATGAATACTAGTGTTACTCTATCAAAATTCTAAGACGATTATGTATCTAAGAATTCTGAATAACCATCCCATAAGAGAATTCCAATCAGTTAGCTAGACTAATTGAAAGCAAAAAGGCTTGTTCAAACATGTTTACAATGAAATCTCAAAGCAATAACAAATCAAAACCTAATTAAATCAATGTTGAAATGAACAAATTAGCAACAGATAGCTAAACTAGGTTACTGATTCTAAAGGTTTTAGGATTTATCGAAAGAATCAAGAAGATTGATGAGAAAGATTGTCGTCTTCTCCAATCAAACAACCCCTATTGTCCGCTTCACTCTCGTTTCTTGCATCTCTCTCTCGCGTACGTCTCTTCAATCGAACAACTGACCACCTGTTGTCCTCGCTCACTCTCGCCTTCAATCGAACAACCCCTCTCTTCTCCAGTCCTCCCCATCGAACCAGCCCCTCTCGTCTCTCCCTCAATCGCGCCCCACGTCTTCTCTGAATCGAACCCACGTCCTCGCTCGCTCAATCCCCCATGAACAGAAGTCGCCTCCTTCCCTCTCGATCCCACGTACTGTTGCCGATCCAAAATTGGGAGAAGATATGGGCTTTATTTGGGCTTGATGAAGTCCACAAAAGTTAGGCCACAAGTTGGGCTTTTTTCATTTCTTTTTTCGGGCTGGACTCTAAAAAAATAAAACAATGGTTAAGTAAACACATTTATTCACAAAATGATTAAGATAAAGGGCTTCTTAACTCTAATTTTTAACCAAGAAAATATAGCTATCAATTTGCAAGTTTCGTGCTTCGTTTAACACGTTGTATCTTTATGATTTGATGCAGTCTTCGAACAGCCCATGTATCCTTTTCCCTTCAAACAGTTTTTGTGTTCCTTTCCCATCGATCAGACCTTGTGTTCCTTTATCTTTGATCACACCTTGGGCTCTGATACCACTGTTGATCGACGAAACTCTCGGTTGCCATCGTTTTGAAGCAACAAACACACACTAATGAAAGATGAAAGAAGTCTACAAGGATGAATTCAGGAAATGATATTTATTAAAGTATAGATACACACTTTCAAATGTTTGATAGCCAATACATATATATAGATTATGAAATGGTGCATTTGAACCATTGTGATGGTTCAAAATTAACTACCAAATCAGTTAGGTAACTGCCTTTCAACCTATGATGTGTCACTTGACACATTTTATTAATTACATATTAATTAATAACATATTCTAATAAAACGTAAATGACATTTAAATTCCAACACTCACAACATGCTCAAAAGGTTTCATCCAACCACATAACGGAGTGCATGCTCAGAGGCTGGGCCAATTTTCAGCTCATATAAGGATCAATGGTCATGCTTAATTATCAGCTAGACCTTTCAAATAGTATTGGTCATGTATTCTATAAGGAAGATCATGGGTTTTCTAATGCTTCATCCCCATTCTGACTGTTGTTTCTTTCTGCTTCATCAATATATGTTGATCAAGACGAGCCAGTATATATTCACTTATTGCATGTTCCCTCTGCACCTCTTCTTCTTCACCACAAAACAGTGATCATAATTAAAAATATTATGGATGAGTAGTTGCTTCCCTTCATCCATTATAGCCTGAGATAGTGAAAGAAAAATGAATTAAGTTATCTCTAATTAAGAAAAATGAAATTATGTTAAAACTAAAAAACATTTCAAATTTTTATTTCAATCTATGCATAAAAAAAAGAAGAACAGATTACATATCTATCTATTTTAGCTAGATCTAATCTTCTCAAGAACAACTAAAACTGGTATTCAAAAGAAAATTTAGAAACAAAAAACTTAACAGCTATAGAGAGAACAAGAGCAATAACAGAAAGCTCTTGAGAAACAAAAATGAAGAAACAATGAATAATGAGCCGGATTATTGGAAAAATACACATTATATATATTTTTAGAAATTGCAACTTTGGTCCTTGAAGAATATTGAAAAGACTCCGCTACCCTCTGACTTCTCCCAAATGTGAGGCGTAGTCCCTCTCTTATTTAAGCAACAAGACTTTTCTAACTTGACACTTTTACCCCAACACGTTAACTCTCTATCAAATTTAGTCTGAAGAAGTTAAGTTAGTCAAGATTAGAAATAAACATATTTTAACACCCACCCTTAATCTTGACTACTAAATAAATCAATCATATTTAACTTTGAACACAAATAATTGTGATGATTAATACCAAGGGCTTTTGTTAATATGTCAGCTGGTTGCTCAGAGTAAGGAATTTTCACAACTTTTAAAACTCCTTTATTAACCTTTTCTCGAACATAATTAATATCAATTTCAATATGTTTGGTACGTTCAAGAAAAACTGGATTATTAGCAATTTAGATAGCCGATTTATTATCACAAAACATCTTAACAGGAAGAAGATTGTTTATTTCAAGATCAGTTAGAATTGTAAGAACCCAGATAATTTCACATGTAACTGAAGTCATAGCCCTATACTCAGACTCAGTAGATGAGCGAGAAACAATATTTTGTTTCTTGCTCTTCCACGAGATCATTGAATTACCAATAAACAAACAGAATCCAGTAACCGAGCGTCTAGTAGAAAGACACTTACCCCAATCAGCATCAACAAAAACATTTAAACTAAAGGTTTCTGACCTTGTAAAGCTAACTCCCTTACCCGGAGACAGCTTGAGGTACCTGAGAACTCTAAGAGCTAGATTTAGATGCGACTGTTTTGAGGAATTCCTAAAGGATTCGAAGAACCCAAACATCCTTATGTTGAACCTCCCTTTGCCAGCAAAGGGTCCTTACATACCCAACAATGTGCATATAAATCCTTGAGTTTGGATTTATATTCCTTGATTATGAAGGCGAACACAGCTTTCAGAGAGTGTCTGCGTTTGGTCTTTGTCCTATAGAACATCTTGATTATCTAAGATATTGGTTGGACAATATCTTTATGGTGAAATGATAGACAACAGGATCAGAAAAGAATTTCTACGTCGAAAGATGCTGGGAGAAGAAGTACCTGGTTACATCGACTTTAGCGACTTATATTAGTTAGAAATTTTTGTCTTGTAAATTTTATCTTTCATTGTAAGTCTTATTTCTCTATGTCTTTTCTTTGAGTGTACAACTTATATGTAATAAGTCTAGAATGTAATGATTGTAACACTTGTAATTCTTCTTTGATTAATATAAGTATTTCATCAGTATCACAAAAAAAGATCCCTGAAAAGAGTAATAAGGACACATGTCTATGAGTTCATGTATGCTCTTACAGTTACTGACAATCTTCAGTCAGTGAACATGCTTTCAGTTTTAGTTTCCCTTCTTGTACTTTTTCTTAAACTTGTAATTTAAGAAAACTTATATAGTAAAAACTGCATCACTGAAAAAGATCCCAAAATATTTAAAAGGGACATGTACTTTATACGTAACTTTTCCTTACTATTATATCTCAAGGCAATTTTCTTTATGTTGTTTTGTCATCATCAAATAGCGGGAGATTGTTGATCCCCTCTCTAATTGATTTGATGATAATGTATTTACCTTTCAAAGTATTATGTTTCTGTCTTTTCAATTCCAGCGATCATCACTGAGTCTATTCAGTGATCGCTGAAACAGGCATTGTAATCCTACAACGACATTGATACTTCAAGAAGACAAAACTCACACCCAAGAACCTTCGGTGAATGTCGAAGACAGAAACTGAAAATTAGTGACTGGCGCGTTCATGATCTAAAGCGGTATTCAGTTACTACAACGTGGTCAACATACGTACAAAGACTGCACAAGCCTCAGTGAATGCTGAAGAGATCTCCAGCGTTATTACAGCATTTAGCGATCAAATGAAGCTTGCCATGCATGATTGTTTTTGTCTTGTCCTTCCACACACAAAAGAAAAACCCATATCCTTTCAAGAGTACAGTACTGCATGGAGCCTACTAGTCAACTCTAGTGTCCATGAACTCCATGAAAGGATGTCGGCTCATGAATAGACAATAGTACTATTCACTGTTGCAAAGGACAAGATTTCCTCTAAAAGCTTGACGTGTGTTCTAACCCTTCTAAATTGCATTTAATGCAATAGGTATAAATAGCTGAGTGCTCTCCTCATGCACTACATCTACAACAAACAAAAAAAGAACACATATGCTTATCTTCAAGCAAG